CAATGGCCCACCTGTTTGAACTAATAAAGTGCCAGGGGCCTAAGTGGTCACCTCAATATTAAAAAAAAAAAATATTAAGATTATTAAGTATTTTTTCAGTGTAAATATTTAATTGGTTAATAATATCAATTAATTCAGTATTATCTTGTCTTAAATTCTGTATACATAATTGTAATCGTCTTGTTTCTTGTCTTAAACTATTGTTATCATTGATCAATTGATTATTTTCTGTTTGTATAGATGTATTTTCATCATTTAAATTGGTTATTTTTTAATTAATACGATTTATTTCACCACTTATAGAAGACATTTAATTTTTTTGTCTATTTTTTCTTTGTTTAACTTTTTTAGGTCCTTTTGCTTTATGTACTGGTTCATAAACAGGGCTTGTTTTACCTCTAACAAATCTTTCTAAAAAAATACCACCGTTATAAAGATTGGTAATTTGTCCATTTTTTTTTAAAATAGGTTTATAAAAATTTGAACGATAATTCTATGTAAATAGTTTTGGTAAATGTTCATTTACTAAAACATTTACAAGTGAAGGAGAATAAAAGGATCCTTCTTTTTGAGCTTTAGGTTGTGCTTGATGAGAAATTTGTATAAAAAGAATAATTAAAAAGAAAAATAATAATTTCAATTTTTTTTTTTTTTTTGAATTAAATAAATAATTTATATAAATAAGGTGGTTTTATATTTAAATATAAATTATTTTTTTTTTACTAAAATATCATCATCAACACCAAAACCGCCAACACAGCCTTTTTCAATACTTGAATCAGCGTCTGGTAAAGTAAATCGTATTAGAAGATTAATTGCGTATTTATGTTCACAAATTAGTGGTGGTGGAGGAAATCTGCCAGATGATCCTAATGCTCTATTACCAACTCCTCCTTCATCACTTGAAGATGTATTAGAATGTCAAAGAATAGTTTGTGTTAGAATTTTTGAACATCTTAAAATCACAAACCCAGATCCAAATAATAAAGATGTAAAATCAGGAGCATTGTTTGAAGCGATAGAAAAAGTAGCAAAGGAAATAAGTGAAGTTGGTAAAACAGGCAATACAATAAAATTAGAAGAACAAGAAACATCGACATATTCTTTTTTGGAAAAATAATGATATAAAAGAACAAGATTTTGAAAATCAAGAAGAAGAAATTAAATATGAATATGATTTTTAACTTATATAATCTTTAAATAAATTATATTTTATTTTTATTATTTGTTAATATGAAAGTTAATAAAAAAACATTTCTTCAAGAAATTATAACTAGTTCAAAATCTAAAAAAGAACTTATTAAGAAATTATCAAGAGAAGACCCCGAATACTTGATAGAGAATTTAAAAAATATTGAATATGTTGCTAATATAATTTATGAAACACCGAAAAATGTTAGTAAAAAATGAAAATATATGAAAAATTCAATCTCATCTATTTCAGATAATAAAGAAAGTGAAAGTGAAAATGATAATAATGAAGAATTACTAAAGAAAAAAACAAAAAAAAGTCCAACTCCATATAATAATTTTGTTAAAAAAGAATATCCTAAACTTAAAGATGATTATGAACATGACCAGATATTGAGAGTAATTGGTACTAGATGGAAAACAAGTCCTAAGAATCCTAAAAATAATTCTTAAAATATATAAATAGATCGATTCTTTTTTTTTAAAAAAATTAAAATGAAACCTTCTTTAGAATTTTGTAAACAATATAATAGATTACGATTAATATTAGAATTAGCAACATATTTCTTATACATAATCCTATTATTAATTTTAATTTATACAATTGTTATTATACATATTAAATCTAATTTATTAGATTTTGATTATATAACATATTTTATTACATTAATTAAAGATTTTTTAATAAAATCATTACAAACTATTTTAACACAATTAGTGACATTCATAGATTCGTATTTACAAACTAGCACCAATTAGAAAAACTAAAATTGTTAAAAAGAAAAAATCATTTACTACGAATAAACCGAAATAGAAAACTTCAATAAAAAAATTATTAGAAAAAAGAAAAGTTGTACAAAGTGTGGTCGCTCGTTAAATGGCTCCTATAAAAAAAAGTAAATTGAAAAAAAAAATAAAATAATAAAAAGAAAAAGAAAACTACCAACAACAAATAAAAGAATTTTAGGAACATGTAATTTAGGTTTTTGTAGAGATGAAGAATGTTTGAACGCATGTAGATTTAGACGAAGAATGAGAACTCAAGTCAAAAGAGTTGTATTTGGTGCACATAAAGTTGATGAAAAAACTTTTTATTATAATACTCTATAGAATAGATTATTTTATCATAGAATGCTTCAAGAAATGAGTAATTTTAAAAATTTTGAATTACAAGATGTTTCAATACATTTAAAAATTACAACATATCATAATAGAGTACGAGGAAGTACAATCAATATACCTGTTGCAAAAAATAATCAGGTTATTATGCCTTTATTAGGTCCTTTAAAAGTAAAAGCATATATTATAGAAATTTGTGATATTGAATTAGCAAAAAAACTACTTGTAACTTTAGATAATATTTTAGTAGATTTTAATCTTCAACATATTCAATTTAAAAAATCTATAACAGTTCATTTAGAAAATGAGATAACAATTGATTGTTCAAGTTGTCAATTTGAATTGAATGAGGTTATATTATGTTTGGATTTAAATCATTTACATGTTTGTGTATTATCCGAAGAAGATAATCAAGTACGAGTTTTTGATAAAGGAAATTACACGATGGTTGTTATTTTAGATTATATGGATTGGATATATCAATTTAAAAGAATAATGTCAAACAATGATCCAAATATTATAGGTCCTTTTGGTGTTACTTTTAATGAAAAAAATAGCGATTCAGGAATTTCTGCATTTTTTAGTAGTGGATATATAGAATCAGCATATTTACCAAATTTAAGACATGCTCCAACATTAAATGCTATAATGCAATCTGTTCAAGATTGTTGTGATAAAAATTAGTTATTTTAATATTTATTTAGTTTTTTATTTTTTTCTATTTTTTCTATAAATATAATATTTTTCTCTTTATTTTTAATAAAAATTTATTAAACATCATGTCAGTATCAAGAATTTTAACAAAAGTTGAATTATGTATTGTCAGGTTTTGTAATGATGATAGAAAATTAAATATTTGTCGTAATAAAAGAGAATATGGTTTTTCTATCGATACAGATTACCAATTTGGTCCTCAGAATAAAACTATTGAAAACAGTGAAAATACAAAACCAAATACTTATTTTCAAGTACCTGAACAAAGATTAATGTATATACGTTTATTTCAAAAAATTAATACAAAACAAAGTAATCTTGAATTACATGATATAGCTGTTCAATTGAAGTTGACAACTTATTATAATCAAGATAGAGAAAGAAGAATTCAATTACCTATTGAAAAAGGAAGAAATAGATATATAACACTACTTATAGAATCATTGATATTAAAAATTTTTATTATTAAAATATGTGATCGAGATGTTGCTATTCAATCAGATCTTTCTATTGGTGATATTATTTTAGATAAAGATATTTAAGATATACAGTTCTGTGAATATATTACACCGCATTTAGAAACTGAATTAAAAGTGAATTGTGGAGGATATGAATTTCAAGATCATGAGATAAATTTATATTTAAATCTTAATAAGTTAAAAGTTTGTTTATTAGAAAATGATCAAAATTTTTAATCAAAGAAATTTTGCGTTAGTTGGGTTTGTAGATTATTGCAATATGTTTTATAAATTTAGACAAGAAAATGAAAATAAGAATTTTTTATATTTTGGTGAAAATTTTAGTTCAACAGAAGCTAGATTAGGTATTCCGTTCTTTTTCATAGTGGATATATTGAGACATCATGGAAATCTGATTTTGAAACAGCTAGTTCTATAGAAAATTTATTTTCACTTGTTCAAAAATGTTGTAAAAAATAGATTAATATTTTTTTATTTATTTTTTATTTTTATTTTTTTATAAATATTGGATTTTTTCTTTAATATTAAATAAATAATATTTAAATAATATAAATGTAAAGTTGATTCAAAAGCCTATAAAAAATGTTGTTATAAAAAACGAATTATTAAATCAAATAATAAACTAAAAGATGATGAATTTTATAACTATTTTTTAATTAAAATGTTAAATTTTCCACAAAATAATCTACCAAATGATGATGAATTTCAAAAAATACATAATCAAATTTTATCAACTTTTGATTTGGATTTATTAAGAGATGGTGAAGAATTAGATTTAAAAATTCAAATTTCGAGTTTAACAGATATACAAAAACAACAATTACAAGAATTACAAGCTGAACAAATGCACTGTGTAATAAGATTTAATGAAATAAAAGATGAAATTAAAAATGAAACATTGGAAAATATAGAAAGATTACGTGAATTTCAATTCTGGCACCGAAAAATACTTGAGAAGTTATTATTTACACAACAACAACAAACTCGATTGAATGAATTAAGATTAGCTAAATTGGGATTTTGGACAGAATATTTAGCAGAATATAATATATTTGTAAAACAAATTCAAAATGAAACAGATTTACGTAGATTATAAAGAGTTTGGATAACTAAAATTGATAATTCTTGATTCACAAATAAAGAAAAATTAAATCTTCATAGAATATGTGAAGAACGTATTAGAATTTTATTAAAACAATCACAACAATCTGACTATTAGAGAATACGAAATGGTATACTTGAAGAAACTAATATCACAAACTTGAAAATTGATAGATATTGGTTTAAAGAAATAAATAGAAGTAGTTTAAATGAAAATCAACGAAAAGAATTAAATGATTTACATGCTAAAATCTTAATCACTCTATCAAATAAACAATATGATGAGATTAGAAAAGAAATTTTAGAAACAAATAATTCATTTTTATTAGAGGATAGAGGTAATATAGATAGATGAATTTGATTGTTAAGAGATGATAATCTAACTGATAAAAGACAAACAAAAATATTACAAGAAATGTGTCGCGGACATTTACAGGATTTATTACAAGTGAAGGAAATAGCGAATTATGATCGACTTGAATGTTTGTTGCATATATATGTTAGAAGACAAAGAGTCGAGTTATTATCAAATGAAAGTATTCTTACAGAATCTATTAACGATCTTAATCAAACTTTGTTAGGAAATGATAGAGATCAATTATTGTTAATACAAACAAGAAAAACTCGATACAATAATCTTTTATATGATATAACAGAAAGACAAATACAAGCAGAAACAAACAGAGAAACTTTAGCGAATAGTGAATGTTATGATCTTATAATTCAGTCGTTAGTAGAATCTGTTCTTGAACCTCCAAAAACAATTCAAACATTACAAGATTTGAAACAAAAACTTTACAATAAAATAACACAATCATTATATAGAATTAAAAAAATTAAAAATCTAAAAGAAGCATTTGATTGGTTGATAGATTTGTTAGAGAAAAAAGAAAAAATATATAATCTTTTTAATGAAATAATAATAAATTATATTGTAGGATATCCAAATGGGAAATATACAAATAAATTGCAAGAAGAAAAATATTTTAATGATGAGATCAATAAAATAAATGAAAAAACATGTTTGTATGAAAAACAATTTCTTTGAAATTTAAAAGAACAAATAGATGAAATGTATAATGATGAAGAAAAAGATCATTATTTTATTGATTTAGAAGGCGATGTCAATATGTTTAACAAAAATTTAACAGATTTTATAAATAAAACTATAAAAAAAAATGTAATATATAAATTAATAAAAGAAATTTACCAGGAAAGCGGAGTAGCGTGGGTGAAAGAAATTAGTAAAAAAGTAAAAGATACATATGATAAAGTATCTTTTTTCAAAGAAATAAGATCCACTATTACAAATACAAGATTTAGAAAATATTTTGATAAAATACTTAAGGATTATTTCTTAAAAAAATCTGAAGAAAATAAAGAAAATAATAAAGAAAAGGAAAAAAACATGATCTTGAAAATAAAGATACCTCAGAACCAAAAAGAAGAAATAGGAAAATAATGAAACCAGAAAAAGAATATAATAAAGAATCGATTCCATTTGTGCATCCAATATTGGTGAAATGGAGATTTATAGAAGATGTTTTTCTTTTAACAATCAGTGCTATTTTTGATATATATAAAGAAATTGTTAACACAAGTGACAAAGAAATGAAAAACTTAAAAACAATAATCATAAATAATTTAGACAATTATCTTGATGTTTCATGGTCAACAGCGTATTCTTTAGCATTAGCAACATCAATTGATTTTTACAAGAAAGCAAAAGCAAGATATTTTACAAAACAACATTTTCTCGATATTGTGTACAAAATATTGGTATTACGAAGTTCAGATCTTGAATTGGATGATTTAATTGAAAATATCTTTGATGGTTTAGAAGTATGAGTGAATTAAATAAGGGTTCAATATTATCTGAAGTTGAATATATTAATAATTTAATTAAACAATATAAAGAAAAACTTGTTAAAAAAGAAACAGAAATATTAAATCTTCAAGAACTTGTTACGGCTAATTTATTTTTTAAACAGATATTTAATTTTTTTTTTTTTTTATATTAAGTGATCCTGCTTCTATTTATTTTTGAACTACTAAAAGATTATCATTATACAAATAACAACCGAAATAGTGTGGTGTTCTATTCTAATAGAAACTCACCAGGCATATAAAGAACTGCCTAATACGACCTGCTAAAACAACTATTTGTCTCACAAAGGGATCCAAAACTCGCTTCAGATTTTGTATTGACTAAGAATACCCCTCTCGATCATTTGACAGGTTGTTGTATACCGTGTCAGGATCCTCTGTCCTTTCTTTAAAACTTTTTCTACCTAAGTTCGGGCAGAATAATTATCTCCTATTTTTCTACAAGCTAAGAACATATATACTACGTTTATGAAAGAAAAACTACATCTAGGAGAAGAAAGGCTAAACCAAATAGAATACACAAAGAACATATTCTAAATAAGATTCTATCATAAATAAACAAAGATGAAAAAAGGTCGAGGGATCCCGACACACACTATTATAACCCATGCCAGGTTTGTGTAAAAATTATATGACAGATACAACATCTGCATATCTCTAATGTAAGACTAAACCTTAACCTTAATTTTATCCCACCATCTACTATCGAAAATTTCTAGCCTTCGCAGCTCTGGGTCCCGTCCCTAAAGTGGTTGCCGCCACTATTATGCGTCTTTAAAACTCCCACGAGGGATTCTAGAAATAGTCCGGTTCAAAATAGTGGCACTGTTCCCATATTTGGCCAGGGTATGTGATTGTATTTCACTGTGTCATCCAAATTTGGTAACTGTAAACAATGTCGATTCTTTGACAGAGGTAAGCTGTTTTGCCCACTTTTTCCAAAATTTTGTTGCCATACCAAGTAGGTGGTGTTTGAGAGTTTTTGTTATTATCGTACTTAGTCTTTTTAGTACAAAGGAGTGGAAGTTACCAAAGCCAGGGCCCAATATACTCAACCCAGAGAGAACTCTTCTTTTCAGTGAGTAATAAACTCTAAAGCTGTCGGCAAGTAGCATATGAGAACTACTTCTAAATGACAGTTGCCGTCTCTGCAGTAAGTGATAAACTCTAAGCCTACTAGCAGGTAGCGTATGAGAACTACCTCTAAACAATAGGTGCTGGCTTACAGTTTTATTCATTTTACCAGGTGTATTGTATATTGGATTTCTTGTTTTTCGAGTTGGATTCTTTCCAAAAATTTCAGTACAAGAGATCATTGGTAAACAGATATTTAATCGAAAAGATATAAAAAAATTAATAATTAAAGAATTTTTTTATCAAAAATATCTTTTATAAATTTATATATATATATATATTATTACATATTTTAATTAATATTGTAACGATTTTTTTTTATAATGTATATTCTCTACAATTTAAATCCTAATATATGTATAAAGTGTGTTGTGATATAATGTCATCGTTAGAAACAGATGATTTGCAAATTTGGTACAATCATTTGGTAAAAAAAGTAGAAAAAATATCAATAGAAAAAGATCATTTAGATCAACAAGTGCAAGAATTAGAAAATGGAGAAAAAGAATTAAGCAAAATAATACTTCACCAAATATTTTTACATTAATAATATTATATTTTTTTGTTCTTATCAGTTTTATTATTATTTTTTATTGTATTTATCAATTCAAATTCAATACGTATTAAATGTATTATTATAGATAAAAAATAAAAATAAAAGCGTTAAAAAAATCAATCATCTTTTTCATTATTTTTCTTTTCTGTTTTACAAGTTTACATGTTGATTGTAAAACTATACGATCATGCGGCTATCGTAAGAGAAGAAAAAAATTTTAAATTATCTTCTTAAAAGAATTAAAATTATATTATTAATAATGTAATAACTATATAAATAATCAAATAAAGCTATTTTATTATTATAATTAAAAATGTTTAATCTCCCAGAAGATATTTTGAATAATTATAATCATTTTAATTGTAAATTTTACATAACAAGAGATCCTAATAACGGAAATAAATTAGGATTATGGTCTAATTGTCCAACTATGATACAATTAGATTCAGTATTAAATTTCAATTTAGAATAGAGTAAAGATACAAAATATATTAGAAGTTCTGCAGCTACATTATTAGAATCTATTCGTAGACATATAGTTTCTCAAGAAGAAAAATTAGAAATAAATATAAAAAAATTATCTGATAATAATGTTTTAAAACAAATTATTAAAAATATATATGAAGGAATAATTGATGCTCTTAAAAAAAGCAATAAAATATATAAAAAGAGAAACAATAATCTTCAAAAAAGACTATTTTTAGTATTCTTTTTTGTTTTTTTTTTTTGTTTTTTTTTAATATTGAGGTAACCACTTAGGCCCCTGGCACTTTATTAGTTCAAACGGGTGGGCTGTCCGAAGACAG